CCATGAGGGCCTGGCTGAGGCGCTTCCTCCTCGGCCTCGGCCTCGGCCAAGGGCCTTCTGGCGCGGGCGACCTCCTGCTCGAGCGTGTGGTCGCGGCGGTAGAGCTCGGTGAAGCGCTCAAGGTCCTGCGGCACCCACGACTCTTTCCCGCGCGAGCAACGTCGTCGTCTCGCGCTGCGTCGCGGCGCGGTCGCCCGTCGCATTCTTGTAAGACTGGCGCGTGGCCCGCAGGCGCTGGTGGGCTGCGGCGAGCGACGTCTCGAGCGCCTCGTTCTGCGTCTTGATGCGCTCGATCGATGTGTAGCCCGTCAGATCGTTGAGGGTCTGCGAGGCTGTCAGGAGGCGGACCTGCAGCGTGTCGATGAGGCGAGGGATCGTCGTCGTCAGCAGCTGGCTCGACTGGACGCGCGAGGAGAGCTGGTCGAACGGGGACGGCGTCCGGGAGGAGGGGGGCGCGTCGGAGGAAGATGGAGAGGACGCATCTTTTGAGGAGGGGGAGGATGACGGTCTGCTTGTGGTGCTTTCGGACTTTGGTAACGAGCCATCCCGCAGGAAGGGCTGTGGGGAATTTGTTGTAACCGGGTCTGGCCTGGACTCGATGAGCGGATCCGAGCTGGATTTTGTAGAGTCGGGGTTTGATTCGGATTCGGAAGGCTTCGGCGGCGGAGAAGGGGGAGGGGGAGGTGGAGGAGAGTTCGAAGAAGAGTAGAGTCGAGAAGATGGGGAAGAAGGACGGAGAAGCTGCCAAGTGAGGGAGCTAGCTAGTTGGAGATGTCGTCGTGCCGCCAATGGTGTCGGGGAGGGGCGGGCCAGCTGGTTCATGAGGCGCCATGATGCAGGCCTCGCCAGTGGCAGTGACTGCATGGTGGTGGATGTCGTTGCTGCTGTTGCTGATGCTGCAGGGCGGATGCAAAGCTGACTATGTTATTTCAGACGAAGTAGTGTGCCCCCAAGATAATGACACACCGAACCGAGAGGCGTCCTCAGTCAGGCAGTTGTGGTACTTCAGACCAAGCACACAGTCTGGACGAAGCTCAAACCTCAACCAAAGCATCGAACGAACAGCCGAGCCGCGTTGTTGGACCTCAATTGATTTTCTGCCGGACTGAGAGTACTCACCGCCTTCTTCGTGAACACAACGATCCGGCGTCGGCGCACGCACCGACCGACCGGGTTCCGACGGGGTCGGTGAGAGGCAGCCTGTGGGCCCCTGTACATTGTCACAGTGAAGGCTCGGCAGGTTTCTGTGCGTCTCGGCGTGCATCTACAGCGGGCCTCACAAGGCGGGACAGGGCCACACACGGGGCTCCACAGGGCACCATAGGGCATTCATTTTGGGGGGTGACACCAGGCGGGTTTGAGGGGGTCAGCGAACGCTACAGGTCCCCTCCTGCAGGGGGGTCCGACGGCGCTAAAAGGCCCTGAAGAGGGGCAATGACGCTGTAGTGGAGGGGCACCTTCTCACACTGCCATGGCATGAGGGGCAACTAAACAACGCATCGCATCCTGGATTGGATCCCCTGGATGCGGGACGATTCAGGCTGAGACCCGGACAGCGGGCATCTGGTGTGAAGTCCGCCGTTTCTTGGGTCTTTGATGTCTGAAGAGATTGTCGTTGAGGGGAGGAGTGGAGGGAGCGAACCTGCGCCGTCCGAGTGACAAACGAAACGGTTGAGGTTCATCACGTTCAGGGCAGGTCGGGCTCAGGTATCAGGTACCTTGGATCCTTCTCCATAGTATTAAATCTCTGCCGCGCCTCGCTCGTCACTTGGCCGGACATAAAACTTCTAGGGGCTGCCTGTACTTGACGATCGTCGGTCGGTTCCTTTCCCATCGTCTACCTACCTACTCTCTCCTCAAACCATACACCCTCACTGCCCTACTTCCACGTACCTTACCTGACCTACCTCCCTGCTATCCTACCGCAACAACACCATAACCGTCACAATGGGCTCCGTCTCCAACAGCGACACCCCGGCGCTCGCCACCAACCCCAAGATCATCTTCTTCACCGACTTTGACGGCACCATCTCGATCAAGGACTCCAATGACTTCATGACGGAAGAGCTCGGCTACGGCCGCGAGCTGCGCCTCGTCGAGAACGACCACATCCTCTACGGCCGCAAGACGTTCCGCGAGGCCTTCCAGGGCATGATGGACTCGATCAAGCTGCCCTTTGACCAGTGCATCGCCACGCTGCGGGCCAACATCAAGCTCGACCCCGGCTTCCGCGACTTTTTCCACTGGTGCCGCGCCAACAACGTGCCCATCGTCATCCTCTCCGGCGGCATGCGGCCCGTCATCCGCTCGCTGCTCGAGATGTGGCTCGGCGACGAGGCCTCATACATCCAGATCGTCAGCAACGACGTCGCCCCGCGGGGAGGGCAAGTCCATCAACGACGAGGCCGGCTGGCGCATCGTCTACCACGACGACACGCCCTTTGGCCACGACAAGTCGATGGAGATCCGCAAGTACTCGGCCAACCCCGACCGCCCCATCATGCTCTACGCCGGCGACGGTGTCTCCGACCTCTCCGCCGCCCGCGAGACCGACCTCCTCTTCGCCAAGGCCGGCAAGGACCTCGTCACCTACTGCGAGCGCGAGAGCGTCCCCTTTGTCACCTTCCAGGACTTTACCTCCATCCACAAGACGGTCGAGGCCATTGAGGCCGGCACCCTCACCCACAAGGACGCTGCCCTCGGCCGCATCCACACGTAGACCTGCCACCTCTCGAGTCCCCCTTTCGTTTTCCACAGCGGGAAGAAATGAAGAAGAAGAGCGCGGTGCGATGAGACTACGATGTGCATGAAGACCTAGTACCTATTTGAACATACACGATATGCTAGATCCGGAGGCTTTTCTTTCTCCTTTAGACTATAGATTTCCGTCCACAGCACTTGGCATAGTAGCATGTGTGGCGCCAGGCGTACACAGAGAGAGAGAGAGAGAGAGAGAGAGAGAGAGAGAGCATGAAAAAGAAAGAGTTAAATTAGTAAAGTAGCCCACTACACCGTGACACCGTGACCAGTCTTTCCCGAAAAAATACCGCCTGCAATTTCCATTCACTTTGGTCCACCCTGCTTTTGCTCCCGAAAGAAATAAAAAGACCACACAAGCTCCTGTCCCCCTACTCATTACGCTTCCTCTGCGTCGGCAGCCAGAACCAGCAGGCCGTCATGCACACGAACAGCCCCAGCGCAATGGGGTGCAGCACCCAGGTCCCGAAGGCCTGGGCCAGCAGACCGGTGGTGAAGGGGGCGACGGCGCCGCCACTGCTGCCAAAGGCCGAGATGACGACCATGCCGCTGGCGCGGTGCTTGCCGCTCATGCCGCGCATGAAGACGGCGGCGGCGCAGGGGTAGATGGGCCCCAGCAGCAAGCCGACGATGGCGAGCGACGTGGCGGCGCCGACGAGGTTCGGCACCTGCCACACGAGCAGCTGGAAGCAGGCAGCGCCGGCCGTGACAATGTAGACGAAGCGCTTCTCGCCGATGCGCTGCGCCGGCGCGCTCAGCAAGAAGCGGCCGAGCGTGATGCCGGCCCAGAAGCCGGCCGTGACGTAGCCGACGGCGCCTGGGTCGCCGACGTCGCGCGTCGCGATGAGGAACGAGATGACCCAACCCGAGATGGACACCTCGGCGCCCTGGTAGGCAAAGATGAAGAGCGCGCCCAGCAGCACGAGCCGCATGCGCAGCGCGTAGAACATGGAGAGGAACTGCGAGTTGCGGCCAGTGCCGCCGCCGAGAGCGTCGGCTGCAGCGTCAGCGGCTGGTCGCGCTCAAACTTAGCAAACGACCACCAGCCGAAGAAGAGGTTGCCAAACGTCAGCGACAGCGGCAGCACGTAGAATCGGTACCACGGGTTCCCGGACGTCGCAATGGCCGTCGCGATGATGGGGCCGACCGTACCGCCGATGCCGTAGCTGCCGTGCATGCACCGAGAGCCGTCGTTGCGTTTTGCAGGGAGCCGCAGAAGATGTTGTTCATGGCCAGGTTGATGGACATGGCGAAGCCCAGGAAGAAGAAGCCGACAATGATGGCCGGGAAGGGGGCCCCGACGATGAGAGGAATGTACGCCGCCAGGAGGATGGCCTGGCCGAATACGAGGAGGTGTGCGCGGGACATGCGTGCGCGCAGAGCGTCCAAGAATACAGCGGCAAAGATGAAGCCCAAGGCATTGCCCACGAAAATGAGCGACACGACGGCGTATCCGATGTTGTAGTGCCTGTCCAAGTCAGTCAGGCATGCAGGTCTCTCTCAAGGCTTGAGGCAAATCTCACTTCTCCATGTAGGGGATCAGGGCGCCCGGGGCACTGTCATTGAGACCGTTACCCAGGTTCATCAGACAGGCAGTCAGAAGCCGCCAGCGGTTCATGTAGGGATCCCACATGCTTTGAAGGGGCTCGGCAATGTCAGTCGCATCTTGAGACGGACTGCCAGGGCGGCTCATCTCGAGATCGCTCCCGCCCGGTGGTGAGGAGGGTGGTGTCCCCGGGCGAGACGACGGCCGGCTGGCACCATGCTCGGTGTGAAGCCTCTGAAGCTCGATGGACTCGTCACCCCGGTGAGGGGCACCAGGGTATGTTCGTTGGACAGCCTTCTGGGGTGGAGGGGGGAAACCGTCGCTGGGCGAGGCAGCGGCGGCCGAGGCCTCACGAGACTCGACCTCGACGAGAGACTTGAAGAGGGAGGAATCCATTGCAGACGAAGCTTCGGTAGAGGATTGGCACCTTAAGGCATACGAGGCATCTGCACTGGTGGAACAGGAACAGGAACAGGAAAAAGAGGAAGAGGGCAAAGTTAAGGACCGATCTCAAGTATCAGACAAGAAGACGGAGCTTCTAAAAGGAGCGAGGGGCGCAAAGGCAAAGTCGGAATGTTCAGAAGAGTAGAAAAAAAAAGGTCGAGCCCAGGCCACGTGAATCTCACGATGACAACGAGGGTAGCCTCTGATGACTCTCCGGGGAAGATTTGCAAAGGGCGCCAAGGACCTCCACCGGACTCGTCTTGGGAATTTTGCCCGAGGCGGACTGTGGAAGGACCACGGCCGACCTATGAGCCTTCTGCCGGGCAATGGATGCACTCCACCACCGGATGCCGCCGTCGCAGGGCCTTATCCGCCTTACCGCTTATCAGACCCGGTCGTCACGTATCCCGATGGCTCATGATACGCCGGAATGGCAAGTGTGCGACATGCAGACTGCGCATGGTGGCGACGGCGAGCTGCAGACCTGTTGGGCGAAAAAGGGGCCGCATGCAGGCTCGATGAGCACGTTGTCTGGTGATAGTGACCGTTCGGTCGTGACCCGATGCTTTCATTGGTACTTTGTGTCAAAGGGGAGCGGCATGTGGAGTCCGATAGCTCGCTCAGCAAGCTCTACTCTCGCAGCCAGATCTTGCAGTTAAGAATGGATGGGTCGTGGCGGAGACTCCCTCTTTGGGCAGTCCGCACCTCCTTTCGCATCAATGACTCTGCCACCAGCTGCGGCGGAGAGATCATTACTGCAAGGGGTGACAAAGTTGGTAAGCTGTCGAGAGATTGCGTATAGTGCTGGTTTCTCCTGTGGCACATATCGGCCGTTCCGAGGATGCACAAGTGAGATTGTAGTCAGTGGATGGAGGTGAAGATGAAAAGGCAATTTCACTTCAGACATTTCGGGTTATGTGCACGTCTCTCTTATCGACCGGTGTCCAATAATGCGTCATATGCATTGTGCGAGGCGCAAAAGCTGCCCCGCGCTTTTCACAGAGCTACCCCGCCATACCAAAAGTCTGTCTCGCAGAGAAGGGTCCATCCCGCTAGTTTGAATCGCGTGTTCCGGTCCGAACGAAATTTCTAGTTGAGCCTTGCTGGTCCAACACGCCACTTGCTGAATATTCGCTTCGCGCACCGGTCCTGCCTGCTAGTGATCATGGTCCGCGTAAAACGCAATGTTCTTGCGGCCGCCGAGGAGTCGGCCACTCCTCCCAGCGCTCTCGAGCCCAATCAGTCGGTAGCCAAAGTCATCAAGGCCGAGGGCAACAACCTCTATACCTGCCTGCTTCCCAACAAGAAGGACATTCTGCTCGAGCTCGCCCAGCGATTCCGCAACACCATCTGGATCAAGCGTGGCGGCTACGTTCTGGCTGAGCGCTACGACGCCGACCAGCTGAACGGCCGCGTCCTGGGTGAAATTGTCAATGTCGTCGGTGATGAGAAGGCCTGGCGCAAGCAGCCCTACTGGTGAGCTTTAAGCCCTCGTGTCCAAGGAGCCCCGTGTCAAGCCGAGTGATCAGTCTTGCTGATAAACCCTTCCTCAACAGGCCCAAGGAATTTGGCAAGAACAGCGGCCTTGACGACGAAGACGACGAGGACTCAACCGTTGGGAAAATGCCTCCCTCCGATTCTGAGGACGAGCCGTGAAGAACTACACGCCTCCGAACCTTCAAAGCTCACTGCTCTTTCGACCCAGCCTTCCTGCCCGGTGGTAGGTGAGGCTTTGGAAGGGGTGCGTTCTCGAGCTTGTCGTTCGCCGTTCCGAACCACACGCTGCCAACAGTGAAGGCCAGCATACCCACGACGACGCTCGAGCTGGCATCTGTGCTGGGGTAGACATTCCAGGCCCACTCCTGTACACCCCACAGAATGTAGACAAGGGGGAACGGGATACCGCTACGCCAGAGGAGGTATGGAGTCGCCCAGGCAAGATAGGCATAAAATTGGTAGTGGAGGGACCGGGCGAAGAGGAGGCCGATAACATTGGCCGTCAGGACCGTGGTCATGATGTACTTGGCCGTCACGAAACCGGAAACCTGGATCTCCTCGAGGGGGTTGAAGGGCGAGTCGGCCTTGAGGAGTGCTGGGATCATGGCCGACAGCGGCTTCTGGGCGGGCTTGAGCCAGCGCGTCGTGATGAAGAGCCACAGGACGCTCACGTGTCCGGTCAGTAGCGACAGCGAAAAGCCTTGGCTCAGAAACAGTTCCTCGCCCACAAACCGCCAGTTGACTGTCCACTTGTACAAGAACTGCCGCGACAACTCGAATGCGCGACCCCAGTACGACCGCATATGCCTCGCCCAGAAGGGCAATCCGATCAGAGCCTGTAGCTGTGCCATGAGCCACGCCAAGCGTAAGCTGCCCTTCAGGCCTCGGCCGAAGAAGAGGATCACAGCCACGGCAGGCAGGCTAAGGAGCAAGGACATTTTGATCCCCACGCCCCAGCTGTAGAGGAGCGCGCCAGCAGCCCAGTTACGACGTTGCATGCTGAAAATGGCTAGCCAGAAGAAAAGAGTTGCGACACCGTCGTTGAAGCATCGCAGGACGAAGATGCTGTGTAGTCGCTTCGACAGGACAAGAATCGGAAACATGTAGGGCGGAACCTGTCTGCCGTCAGAACGCATGTCACCAAACCCCCAGGGTCGAGGGTTGTTGGGTCCCACCTTTGCCTGCCAGTAGCATGCCATGACCACTGCCAAGGTTGCCAGATATAAGATGGCGAACAAAAATTGTGCAAAAAGAACATCCGTCCCCTCATCGGTCAGGTAGTAAAGTCCCGTGTAGGTGTAGACATGCGCGGCCGGGTAGACGAGAGGGCCGGTGCCGCCTTTGATCTTGCTGTAGTCACGCTCGCCAGCAACGATTTGTCCAATTTGTTCCATGTACGCGACCCAATCAATTTCGGTGTCTAGAGACCCAGGGTTAGCTTTGCGGCATGTTCGGGCATGCACGCCTCAGAGGGGTGCTTACAAGGAACCTTGAGTATGATCAGGATGCAGAGGAGAGCATCGAAGATCAGGAGAGCAATGGGGATGGCCCGAGAAAGCTTGTGTCGCCCGTTAACAATGTCGAGAAGAAAGTTGATGGGCTGCGCAGGGGCCGCTGCCTTGGTCGCAAGTTGCTGGTCCGCCATGGCTGCTGAGGTGTGCCGTCGCGGTACGATGCAGCGCGTTGCTTCTCCGGACGTGTCGCTGTTGATGTAGCTGAAGCTCGGAGCTTGCCTATAATGCCACCTCGGGGATCTACAACTTCTGGGACCGATACCGTGTATTGTGCACAGTGCTTCTGACTCAAAACACTGTGTTTCAACATGCCTCTTGCTCCCCTTCAGCATCATCCGCCTGCAACCGTTTCCATGATTGTCTTGGCTGTGAAAACTTTGGTCAGAGCTGTAAACGTATCCGTTGGCATAGATCATCCATAAGTACAGATAAGAGGAGCGCAGAGCTAAAGCTTCGCTTTGCTGGCCTGACCGAGCTCGTTGACGAGCTCCACCACCCGCTCAGCACAACCATAAGAGCCCTGAAATCCCCAGCCAGCATGTCCATAGTTGTGAACCACGGGCGTTCCGTCCTCGAAAATACTCGTATCCGTCTCCAGCCTAACACCATCCTTCCTCGTGGGCCGTAGTCCGACGCCATGTCGGACAATGTCCAAGGCCTCGATGCCCTTGCCGTTGGTCAAAGTCGGGTTGAGCTCGACGCACCGCTTCATGATACGGATCGCCGTGTTCGGGTCCGGGTTGGCCTCCCAGTTACCCTTCTCATACGTGCCGCCAAGGATTGTGCCGCCGCCCGATGCCCGCTGCATGAGGTAACTTACATCCGTCGCCACGTCCTCCGTCCCGCTGATCGTCGACATCGGCGTCGCCTCGTTCCTGACGAGCACGATCTGGCCTCTTGCCGGGATGACCGTGGCGTCTTCAACGCCGCCTAGGCGACAGGCGAGTAGCCCACTAGCGTTGACGATGCAGTCTGCCGGCTTGCCCGAGTGATGCATCGCCTTTGCCTCGTGGATATGCGACAGGACGGCACGCTTGACCACGACGCCGTAACGGCGACACTGGCCGACAAGCCAGGGCAGGTAAAGCGCCGTGTTGAGACACACAGAGCCGAACTCGCTACCGGAATGGGCGGCGGCCGGCAGTTCCTCGGGCTTCAGGTCGCGGTAGTCGTCGAAGAGATGACGGAACCAGGGGTCCTCTGCGAAGAGGCCGTCGTAGGCATTGCCAGTCGCCATGTCCTTCTTGCGTCGCCAGACCCTGACCTCTGCACGCGCGCATCTGCTGTTAGCCTCTTGTGCTTCGAGGGCCTCAACAGACTCGGGGAGGTTGGCGTACTCTGAAAGTGAATGCCAGCTTCGGGGACATCCTCAGCTAACCGCTTGAGCTCAGGCCATGTCCTGCGCTCCCAGCGGCTCTGCTTCTCAAAAGACATGCTGCGCGTCGTCTGTCAGCATGTTGACCCTCACAAACATCGTCACAAGAAAAGCGCGGCCCACATACGGCATAAAGTTGGCACCGGCCCACGGTGACGCGTACTCAATGTCATAGTCACCGGGCATGTGCTTCGCAATGACCGTCACCGAGTTGTTCGTATCTTTGGCAAGGAGGAGGGCACTCGTGAGGCCTGAGACGCCCGCGCTGCATGTCTTGTAAGCGTGCTGCACTGCAATGACGGAAACAATAGACGACTTACCCCAAAACGACAATATTTTTCACCATTTTTGCGACACGAATTTCTGATCCTCTTGGAGCAATGGCGGAGGTGCAAAGGCTCTGCTAGGTGGGATGAAGACTCAAGTATGTTTTTGGTCCATTGAGGATGGAGTCGGGATATAGGGTGATGATGGCTCCAGGTGCAAAAGGGAGGGCGCCGATGTAGTGGAAGCGAACCCCGCAGCTAGCCGCAGCAGTACAATGACTCAAGCACAAGGCAAACGCATATATCGCTGCTGATGTGAAATGGAAATACTACAGCCACCAGAACGATGGTGTGAGCGGAGCCATCAAATCGAATCATATGTGCAGCGGGAGGGCTTCCTGGGCCAAGCTGACGAGCTGAGCCCGGCCGAGTCCGCCTGCGGGAGAGGGGGCGGGGGGGTTCCGCCTCTCCCCGCCCGATCACGGAGCCTTCAGGACCGGGATAAGGGCCGTGAGTGTTCGTAGTCAGACATGCTGGATACATGTACGCGTTTTGAAGTGCAAAAACATGACTGTGGTCGGATCTCCTAGCCAAGTCGATACGACATGCCTGTTATTTATTATGGTGTTCTGTGGTCAAAGATCGACTCAAGCTGATAAAAAAAAATCAATTCTGGAAGAAATATATGCGCTGCTGCACAAACCAAGAACAGAAGGTAGCTGTTCCCTTTATTTTCTTTTACTCTTGGCTTTCATCTGATGATGCTTAATACAGGCTTATTTGTACTGCGCTCGATAACGCCCAGGATCTCTTGCGTCGTTGTAAATTGGAGGGATAGAAACTTGTCTAGTGGTAGACCATCATGTTTCTGGGATTTCATGAATCCCAATGTGCCTCATCAAACCGTCTGCGCTTGAGAGAATACCAGACTCGCACTCACTCGGGAATGAGGTTTACAAGACAAGTTATCTGCGGAAAACCAGAGTTTGGCAGAAATACGTCACTTCGGCGCAAGCTGTCAACTGATAAATGTTTAGACACTTCGTTGGAGAATCGGGCTCTAATAGTCATGAAAAGCACGTTCATGAGCCCGGCCAACAATTTCAACATCACAGGCGCCAACGCGGTATCAGCCACGTAGTTAATGACGCAAAGCTGCGTTTGGTTAGCCTGTAGTTGCACCAAAGTCGGATGACAAGTTCGTCGTCTTTGCAACAGACCAAGCAAGCATGGGACAGTTGGGACATCGTCGCCATCCCGATGTACAAATATATCCAGGTGGTAGGGCGCAAGACATGATGAAAGATTCTCGTGTATTCTCTATGCAGCAGTACATTCCATGAAGCGCCATCCGAGGGCGATGGTATGTGATTTTCCTCCTCTTCCCAGTGGTATCAAGCAACGGCAACATTAGGCGGAGTACTTCAGGAGCGCCTTCTCGAGGGCGGGGGGGTTGGCACCGACAATCTCCTCAACCTTCTGGCCGTCCTTGAAGACCATGAAGGTGGGCATGGCGCGGATGCCGAGCTCCTGGCTCAGGTCGGGGACCTCGTCGACATCGATCTTGAGGAAGTTGACGCTGGTGTACTTCTCGGAGAGCCTGTTGACGAGAGCGCAGCCTGTCAGCACAGAGTTCTTCGGCGCCATCTGGCATGGGGGTATAGCATTTGTACTCACTGCGCGTATACGGGAGCAATGGTCTTGCAGGGACCGCACCACGTAGCGAAGCAGTCGAGGATGGCGACGTTCTTGCTGGGCAGGACGTTGTCGGCAGCGAGGGTGACCTCCTCGCCGTTGATGGCCTTGTAGAAGTCCGCCTTACTGTACCGGATGCCAAATCAGTATGGATCTTTTTGGAGGGGTTGATGCGCGATCGCGTCATGGACCAAGTCGCACACGGTCGCTTGCGCAAGGACGGCAGAGGGGACGGCAAGGCACATACGATTTGATGTTGTGGACGCCCATTTTGAAAGACGAAGTTTGGAACAGCCTAGATGTGATGGCAGGGGACAAGAACTGGGGAACTGGGTCGTGACAGAGCCGGTCGGATGGAGTGTAGAAGGAATTTAGTTGACATTGGAGCTGCTGCGTGGGATGGAGGTGCGGGGTGATGTGCTCTAAATAACGACAGCGGTTGGGTCGGGAAGCGGGTGCAGGTGCGGGTGCTGGTGCTGGTACTGGTGCTGGTGCTGGTAGTGCAATGGGACTGTAAGGCGTGTGTTGAGCCCCTCTGACGAAGTCTCTGGCTTCCAGCAATAGTAAGCGTGCTTTCTAATAGGGAGTGCTGCACCGAAAGCTGTGTCTGCCGGGGTTTGAGCCACGCGATGAGGCAGGGGGAGAGACACCGAAGCTCGCAGATTCTTCCAGGTCAGGAGGCCTACCACCGAGGTACTTACTCAGTAATACAGTATACACCAGATACGAGGTCACCTATCTTGGGGCATGGGCTGTCAGGGTGCGAGACAGGGCTGTAGCTTGATTTGTCAGGGCCAGATGACGCCATCTGCAAGACACCTGATTCGGCACGACTATCACTTGTCTGCCACTCACCGAGTCACCGAGAAGCTACATACGTACAATGTACGTAGATGAGGAAGCCGACCCAACGATTCAGTAAGGGGTTCCGGGAATATCACAACATTGATGCTCTGCCGTAGTCTTGCGTGATGCGATCAGTAATCACCGTAGCATCTTATTTGGAAGAACTGCAGCATGGATACAGGTTTTTTATGCCACTGCCCACTGGCCTTCGCTCATCGTTGGGTTCTCGTTATCAATTTCCGTGGTTCGCCCAGACTACCTATGTCGACAGACACGGGTAGCACTCCAAATGTTGTTCACTATGGACACCTCTCGGTGGGTTTTCCGGAGACCAGTTGCCCGCTTCCCGGCTGCGTGTGTGACGTCGAACGGCGCATCGGCGCCCGGGCCGCCTCCGTCACAGCGGCGAACATCAATAGCGCCGAACGGATCTAGATGAGTGTCGGCAGTTCTGCCCCTCAAAGCGTATGCCTCGAATCGCGCATGGATTTAAGTTAAGCGATATCGGGAGTGAACCATATGCCTGTCAGCTGCTGTGGGATGACGAACGCGCCTCAATCTCATCGGATGATTTCTGAGGGCTCGGGTGGCGCTTGCACGTGAAAAGTGGATGAAGGACGAGTGCCGGCTTCAAGAGAGCGCGGAGTGGTACGAATGGCTACAGGTAGCTCAGATGTGTCGTTATGTTCAATCGGTAGAGGCGGTTGGATGAGTATGATGAAGCTGTGTTTCAACAGACAAAAGCTGTTTGCTGATAAGCGTCATCGCCGAAAATGGCCTTTCAAAGCAACGAACCCGTATCAGTGTATGATTGAGAGGGATGATGCAGAGCCTTTGAACTCAAAATCTGATCCATGGAGGGTGATTGTACTCCTAACGAGTTACTCGACGCCTTGCGATATCGACAGTATGATGCATTCAGAAGAGTAACCAATCGGACCACAACCCATGCGTGAGGTCGGCGTGGGCTTGCCTGATGACTTAGTTACGGATCGTCAGCGTCCAACAGGTGAGTGTTGGTTGCCCAATCATGGCCTGTCGCATATGACAAGGGGTGTTGCGGAAGATGGCGCGAGATGCCGTTTCGTTGGATAGAGAGGTAGGCGACGGTAGCCACCTGCAGACAGTCGAGACGCCGCCATGCATGGCTGCAACAGCTACGTATCTATGTGTCTACAAGCGACACGATAATTGGAAAACTTGTTCCGGCTGGAACAGCAGGCAATACATAAGAAAGATGACGCGTCTCGATTAGGTAGGGCATGAGCGGAATCAGATCAAGACGAGAGGTACAAAGATAGTGCCCCTTGTATGGTGGGAAAAACCAGCAGAGATCGTCAAAGTGCTGTATGTTGGTGTGGATGGCCTGGCGCAGCCTTCTATTCCTGTCCCTTCGGCCATGTTTAGTGGGAGGAACGGATGACGACGACGGTGGCTGCGGCAGCGCTCGAGTCGCGCAAAAAGGGGGCCGACCTGCCGCCTTTTCAGCTTCGGTTCAATTGGGTTCGTATCTGCAATCTCATGAAAAGCCCTTGGCAAGATGACAAGTTGGGGATTACGTGGTGAACACAATTCGAATAAAGATCATGGTCCTCTTATCATGTCCAAGAAAGGACGGAAAGACTTGAGCGTTGCTGGGCAAAACATGACACGAGAGCAGCCACGGACGAGATGATGAAACAACGCTTCTTCCCTGGTGATGAGGGGCTCCAACTTCCAGCCATCCCACTTGGCCTGGTCCAGTCCTGCCTAGGCAGTCTCAGCTGGCTAGACGGCGCGCTTGCTGCTGTGGAAAGCGAGCCAGGAGCCCGGGGCCAGGCCAGACAGGCCTAGCGTCCCCGAAGCGTGCGGCGCCGAAATGCTGGACTACAGTGCATACCTACCCAACCGCCCTCCGTGTCGGTTTTTCCTTT